AGCCCGCTGAAGAAACACCTACTGGTGAAACGCGTAATTTAGCGGACGAAAGTCAAGCTACTATGACGGATGCCACTGTTCCTGAGGATACTTTACAGCACTTACCCGAACCTTTGAACGAGGAGAAAATTGAAGGACCGGAGGATCCGGTGACTCTACCATCAAACGAAGGTGATGCCACAGAGGCCCCGAAGTCTAGCTCGGTCGAAGATGCTTCTGTTACCCCCAAGGAATCAGCAGAGGAAAACGAACCAGCCGCAGACATTATGGCCAGAGAAGCAGCAGAACAACTGCAGCCCGAAGCGAGTCCGGAGACGGATGCGCAACCTTCTGCCGCAGAAGCTGATCCCCAGCTTGTGACCACGACGGCTGAACAGGAGAGTGGCTCCTCTAAGTCCAAGAAGAAAAAGAAGAAGAAGAAGAAAAGCATGACTGCAGAGGCAAACGAAGATACTGGTGCAGATGATGGACCAAGCGAGCCAGTTACGCCAATCGAACCCGGTACTCCTGCAGAGCCTGAGCTATCTACCGAGCCTGAAACCCCAATCGAACCTCAGACGCCGCTTGAACCTGAGGCCGCAGTTGAACCTGAAACCGTGGTTGAGCCTGATACACCTGTCGACGCTACAGTCCCTGCTCTGCATGAATCCGAGGTAGTCGCTCCACAACCAGAAGATTTAGAGAAGGACACCCCTCCCATGTCAGCCAAAGCGAGGAAGAAGGCAAAGAAAGACAAGAAACGCCAGTCCAAGAGCCTAACCGATGCTACGGAGCCTGCTGATGAGACTCGCCATTCGAGCGACACTCAAGTGCCCAGCGAAACGAAGACCGCGGAACAATCGCTCGAAACGGCAAACATACCTGCTGAAGATGACGGTAAAGACAATCAGTCCCACGGCACCGAAAACCACGGCGAGAACGATAAAGATCTGATTTGGACTGATGACATGGTATCTCCGCAGGTAGAGCAAGAGCAAGCGACTTCTTTCGCTCATCCACCCCAACTCGAGCATGAGAAAAGTGAAGACGACCCAGTTTCCGTTCCCTCCGATGAAGTAGTCAAACCCGTTGAGTTGGATGCCCATAACTCAAGCCAAGATGAACCTTTAGCAATCAACGAGCCGGAGGAGTCGGGTGATGCGCAGGGAAGATTGGAGACGCAGCCCGCTGAAGACATGGTCAAGCCTGACGATGAAACTGGGCAAACATCAGTGGGGGGGCAAGGAGAGTCCAGTACCGACCGAAATGTGATCGAAGATGTGTCTAGGGATGTTGTAAAGGAGACAGAGCAGGCGCCGATTAGGGAGGACGCTGAGCACGAGGATGAACAGCTTGTCAAAAAGGAAGAGTCACTTAGCGTCAGTTCGAAAAAGGAGTTGGCGGATGAGGCTACGGAGACGCGTGTAGGAGAAGTCATCGAAGCCCCGGATGCCACGCAGCAAGGAGAATCCATTGAGGGGGTAGTTGAGATGGATGATTTTACGACCGATGTACCATCAAAGAAAAAGAGCAAAAAAGAAAAGAAGAAAAAGCGCCAGGCAGAGCAGTCAGCAAGCCAGGAAGAAACCGAACAGGGCACGGCAGCTCAGGGCAACGAGCAAACAACAGCTACGGCTATTCCCGACGAGCTACCCGTGGAAACCGCAGCTCCCAGTACCGAACCAGGCCCTGACGCATCCATTGTACCAGCCGAGTCGCCAAAGGACGAGGAGGAGCCAGCAGCACACGATCTTGAAGTGACTGCCCCTGTCGAGAATCACGGAGAGGAAGCTGAACAGCCAAATGATGTTCCGGTTGAATCAAAGCTTGATTCAGGTGATCAGCAGCTGGATATTACAGCAATTGTTCAGGTCGAGAAAGACACCCCTGAGGGACATTCTATTCCCGAAGGTGTTACTCCGGAGGCTGCCGAAGAAACTGCAGTCGATGTTGGCGAAACCTTTGCAGAGCCAGTCGCTAAGACGAAGAAAAACAAGAAAAAGAAGAAGAAGGGGTTAAGTCAGGCGAAAGAGGAGACTGAGCCTCAGGAGGTAACCGAACCGCATGTCGAGAGCGAAGCAGTGCCGGACAATGAGCTAGTCGGCCAACAGGGAGTGACAGAGGCACCTTTTGAACAGGCTTTGGAACCCTCAGAAGACAGGAGCAGCTTGGATGCCGTGCAAGATGACGCAAACTTGAACGACTTTGTTGATGAGCCAACTCCTTCGGGTGACAAGGCTCTCGAGCCAACCGCAGAAGCCCCAGAAGGACTTACAATGGTGTCAGAGCAGTCCCCTCAAGACAACATCGCCAAGGATGAAAACAATACCACCTCATCTGTCGCGGACGCAACGGTAGATTTTCCGAGTGATGTGACCCAGGAGAAGAAAGCCGAGGAGGCAGTCCTCACTCGTAAAGAATCCAAGAAGAAAAAGAAGAAAGCCAAGAAACAGGCCAAAGATGAGCCAAGCAGTCCCATGCTTGCACCGACTGAAGGGGCTTTTACCGGGGATGAGGGTTTGACGTGGACAGATACTCTTGAGTCCGCCCGTCCTTCCGCCGATGAGCTAAGCAACGCCGTCGAAGAAAAGCAATTGACAAATCCCACCGTGCAGGAGGATGGAGACAAGGAAGACCATGAGGCCCCACAGTCTGAGGAAGAACCAGTCCGCAACGCAGAAGAGTCTGATGAGCCCCAAGAACTGTCTACTGCAGAGAGACAAGATATGGTTGTCCAGCAAGAACCAGAAACGACCAATGCAGGCCAGGATACCGAGACACTAACAGAAAAGCACGACCTTGGGATGTCTGAAGAGTTGTCTGAGAAATTCTCGGAACGACAGGAGGCACCAGCTCCCCTAACGAAGAAGTTGTCTAAGAAGGAACGCAGAAAGGCCAAGCAAAGAGCTGAGCAGGAGCTTGTAGAGTCTGATAGAGGGCAGCAGCCAGATGTTGACGCTGGTGCTTCGGCGGACCAAAACTTGGTCCAGCAGCAAGTGACTGAAGCACCAGACGCGCTGGCTGCTGAACAGGCTACGGTGGACGGTGTCTCTCCAGAAGCACACTCTGGGGAAGAAGAGAAGCGTCTGGAGAGCCAAACCCTCGATGTCAAGAACCCAGAAGGTGAGCAACCCCACAAGAAGGATGCCACCAGTTTTCCACCACAGGAAACTGAGATCCCGGCTTGGGAGCAACGCGCACAAGATGATGACTCTTGGCCTATAATAGACTGGGAGAAAAGCGAAGTTGATGCTACCGAACGATCACCCGATTCCTCACCCGAAGCTCGTGCTGTGCCGTTCGAGCCAGGCATTGCAGATTTTGACGAGAACGCAATCCCAGAAGGGGTGATCCGACACCCAAGCGCATCAGCCGCGGCAGGGAAAACGACAGTCAGAGCATTTCAGCAAACCCGGGGCGACGTACAAGCTCCCTCTGAAGCAACTGCTGTTCCCCCAATTTCACCCTCTACCGTACTCGATGCAGAACACTCAATCTACGCAAAGACTAGCAGCGAATCCCTCGGCTCGGAGTCGCAGAAGCAAAGCAAGGTCGCCAGCATCTTTCCTCAACTGGAACGGGGATTTTTTCGTCGACCAGCTCTAGTTGAGCCGTCCGAGTCAGCAAAAGATGGGGCTGAGGAAGAGACTATTGACAAGGAAGCAATTCGCGACAGCGCGATAGTCTTGGAGGCGCCCATCAACACGGCCAACTCCCCGTCTTCGGGGCAGGACGATGCCAAAACTACTACGATACCTACTGAAGTAGATGAGTCTACACAACCGGAGACTGGATTGCACCCTTCTCCAAACGAGCCTACGATCGAAGTTGAAGCAGATACTTCGTATAATGTTTCTGTGCTTTCGGATGGACCGGAAGAGAAGTCTAGACAAATTGACATACGTTGGGAAGAACAAAAGGACAAGGAGCTTTCCAAGGGAGTTGAAGCTGAGACCGCAGAGCCTAGCCCTTCTTCCCACCACGAGGCTCCACTATACGCCCCGTCTCCCGTGCATGAGCGACAGTCGGTACTCGTTCGGTCAGGATCCCCATCAGGTGAAGAGATTGGACAAGAAACGTCACGCTCTAGCCCAACTTGTGAGCTACGACGTAGCCCGTCAATCCACGGTCGATCTAACCAAACGCGGCGGCCGTGGTCATTGGAGGTCGACCAAAACTCTCAGCCACGTACGCCCTCGCCGCAGCCGACAGGGGTGGATCGAGAGGCAGTCTCCCCGCCGCGGACACCGTTGCAAACCATCGAGGAGGATGAGCCAAGGGGTCGAACGGAGAGATCCACCGGTTCAAGAACCGTGGGTCACGGACGCGGCACGCCCCGTCTAGAGATGAAGCCCGAACATGTGCTTCCTCGCCCCGAAACCCCGACCCGGAAGTTTACTGACAATGCGTTGGCCCGTCAGGCCTGGCCAACACCGGACAAAGAAACGCCGTTTGACGATGTCGTTGTCAAGAGGCGTAGCCCTGAGAGTCAGCTGGTGGACGGTAGATGGCCGGCTGAGGTGCTCAAGACGCCGGAACAAGACAAGCCAATTCTACGGCCCAGCAGCAGCATCCGAGGGGTTAAGAGCATGCACAACATGACGCCGAACCTCGAGCAGACGCCGACTCCTCGATCGCTGCGACGCAATCATCGCACTGCCAGCGGAGATTTGCGGGCGGCAGCCACCACTCAGGCGCAGGAGAGCGACGACCAATCAGAGCGCAAGCCCCAGCCTCCCGCTTCTTCAGCCTCGGACCTCAACCTCGAGCGCATCGCCTCTTCTTCCTCCTACGACCCCGTCACCGACAAGGGCAAGCGTCCCCTGCGTAATATGACGGACGTTTATGTAAGTACTACTAGTTGATTTTCCATGAATTCTGTGCATTGGTATTTTCGTCGTTATCGAAAGGTCTGGGTTGGCTAACCGATCGTCTGTTTACTACTGTAGGAGGGTTGGGGTGAGACGCCCAGCTCGCCCCGGTCGCCTAGCCGACCGCCCAGCATTCGGCACCGTCGAAGTATGCAACACCTCCAAGAACTCGAGTCTCGTCTCGACCGCCTTATTTCGGAAAATCGTCTTCTCGCCGCCGCTCGTGAGGAAGCTGAAGATAAACTCCGCAAGACCTCCGTCGCCCGACGCAAGAGTGACCATGCCCTCAACAGCCGCGACGCTGATCTGCGGGACAGGGATGCCGAAGTGGAACAATTGAAGAGCTCGCTGGAGTGGTTGCAGAAGGAAGTAGCCCGTCTGACCGAGGAAAATGCCGGGCTCACGACGACGAGCTCCAACCTCACTGCCACTCATGCGCAGGAGGTCCAAGTTATGCAGGAGACGTTCGATCGCCAAGTCGATGCATTGCGCTCGGAGAATCAACAACTGTCGGCAGAAATGCACGATCGGGTGCGACAAGAAGTGGAGACGGCATTGGCCCAGAAGGACATGGAGCTACGACGGCTACGAGAGGAACTGGAGAATGCTCGCGACAAGGTGAAACAACTACAGCAACAGATCGCGGCAGCCATGCAGGACGACGTCTTGGTCTTCCGCGACGAGGATTACTTCGATGCTGCTTGCCAGAAGCTATGTGGTCATGTACAGCAATGGGTCCTCCGTTTCTCCAAGCATTCCGACCACCGTCGCTGCCGCAAGCTCAGCGATCTGCAAGATGAAAAGATTGCCGACCGGTTCGACAACGCCATCCTGGACGGTTCCGATGTAGACAGCTACCTCGGCGATCGAGTTCGTCGTCGTGATGTATTCATGTCTGTTGTCATGACCATGGTATGGGAGTTTATCTTCACACGATACCTATTCGGCATGGATCGTGAGCAACGACAGAAGCTCAAGTCTCTGGAGAAACAGCTGGCCGACATTGGTCCACGCAGTGCTATCCATCGGTGGCGTGCCACTACTCTGACTTTGCTTTCGAAACGGCCAACCTTCTCGAAGCAGCGTGAGAGCGATACCGAGGCTGTCGCCTTGGAGATCTTTGACACTCTGTCACGCCTCCTCCCGCCACCTACCAATGTCGAGGCCCAGCTTCTGGACTCGCTTCGCAAGGTGCTCCGTGTCGCGGTCCACCTGTCAATTGAGATGCGCACACAGCTGGCAGAATACATTATGCTACCGCCACTGCAGCCCGAGTATGACACCAATGGTGATCTTGCTCGCCAGGTCTATTTCAACGCCTCCTTAATGAATGAGCGCAGTGGAGAGACCACGTCAAATGAAGAGCTGGAATCGCAGCAAGCGGTAGTCCGGGTTGTTCTGTTCCCATTGGTGGTGAAGAAGGGCAATGACCGGGGAGAAGGCGACGATGAAGTGGTCGTCTGCCCGGCCCAAGTGCTCATTGCCAGACCCAACAAGGACAAGAAGGTGGTGAAGATGCTCAGCGGCGACCGCATGTCCCTGGATGCCACGAGATCGGTCCACAGCGTCGCCCCGTCGTCAACCATGGACATGAGCAATGTGATTTGAGGCGTCACACTCAGACCTGATTTGTCTCATAGTTTACGGAAGACGACGACTGCACACTTTTCTGGCAGTCTGATCCATCCTTTTTTTTTGCGGGTCGTTATGGTTTTGTTTATTCTTTCACGTTGGTTAGCACGGGAGGCGTCAGGACGGATGGATGATGGGAGCCGGAATCCAACCCGGTTCTAAAATGGTAATGAATAATGCTTGGAAGGCTACTTGGAGCGTTTGCTGTGCTTTCAATTATATCCCCTGTTTGGTTGCTTTGATTCTTTTTGTCTATTTTATGTTTCATAATATTCTCATTTCTTGTCTCATATTGATGATGTCTATGATGATGCCCGATATCTAGAGCTGACGATATGACGGCCTTGATTGCTACTTTGAAGTTATGCCTTTTATTTTTTATTATTTATTTAATTTTTCCATGTTGTTAATGTAACATTGTGATGTCTAATATGTATGACTGTATGTAGTATGATGACAATGAGACCATCGCAGGCTCTGAAGAAGACAAAGACAGACAAACAGACAGACTTTCGTATTTGGTGTTGGGGGGAAGCTAAAAAGCATCGGTGAGCCAGTGATGTCATCACCTGACTGGGCGGGCCTTAAAGCGGTGATTATGACCGGGCAGGGGGACTGGAAGCTCCCAGTTTCCTTGCTTTTTGCCAGGCATTTGGTCTGGAACTCCCTCACTCTTCCATCTTCCCCATCGTTGCTTGTTCTTCGGAACTTCTCTTGACAGCAGAGGTCCTTCATTGGCTTCCCCATCTTTCACCCCCATTCTAGTCTATCCCCATCGTGTACTCTGTACTACACAGTACTTTTGTGGATTTCCCCCCCATTTCTCCAGTTGATGGAGCTCAACCCTTACCGTTGGAAGTGCCTCATGTCCCACCACGCCTCGCCCCTCGCTCGCCGATCTCCAATCGCTCTGCGCCCTGCGCCCCGATGAATTGTCCCTGACCACGCTGAGCCCTACTAGGCTGGCCGACACTGCATACCCGATAACCTTGCGTCTTGGATTGCCTTTTTTATCCTCGTCATCATTACTTTCATTCTTATCGCAGCAGTCATTCCTCGGTGTCGGGAACCCCCGTGCATGGTGCTGTTAAACCGTATACTATTTACTACTAGCTGCAAACTTATCGCCTTGGGAAGTGGAACCCTTTGAGATAAGGAATTGGGAGATATCATCCAATTTTTGGGGCCGATCATCGTGCATGCAGCGTCCGCGGCCCCGAGGCCCTCGTTCCAGATCACGATGCAGCCTTCACCGTCAACTCCGCATCAGACCGCTCCCAGCCCGTCCAAACCCTCCCGACACAGTAGTCGACGTGCCGGCGACTCCCAGTTAACAATCACGCGTGGCTACGACACTCCTGGCTCGGATCGGAAGCAGGACGATGGCGCAGGAAGCAGATCAGGTACCACGGTTAAATCTGCCAAACGGAAAAAACCCCGTCATCGAAAGCGTCGTCATCGCCGTCAGTCCTTTCTCGGCGGCGCTGAGGATCCTCATCCCGCTGCTCCTCATGCCTCGATCCCCGACGCAGGTGAGGATATCAGCATGATGGCTGATCAGGCTAAGCCGCAAGCTTCACTGCCGTTCTATAAACTGGGTAGTAGGGATCTCAGTAGTACGAGTTTGGAGAGTGAGGCTTTGTTAGATCATCGGTATGTTACTCTTGTCATGCTCCCTTGGTCTTGGATTTTATTTTTATGGGGCTAATGAGTGGGTGTTTCTACATAGTCATCAACCGTCGATGAGACCTCGGAGAGATAGTCGTCTCGCCCAATCTTACCGTCCCGGTTCCTCGACCACCCCCTTTCGTCCCGAGTCGGGCTCCCAGACCCTGCCGTCTGCGCACAGATCGTATCGAGTGGATAATGATAGTGGTGGGGAAGAAGAGGAAGTCAATGATCGGACACCGTTGATGCCACCGCCCTCTGGTCATAGTCCTAGCTTGCCTCGGTACGGGGCCGACTTTCGGTCAAGCCCGCTGTCGTTCCACCAACGACGACCTGCCTCCAGTCGTTCGAGCTCTTCTCGATGCTCGCCTCGTGCCATACCGAGTCCCAAGTTTGGTGAGCAACAAGATCGTGATTATGACATCAACAACCCTCCGTCCATGCCAACGTCGCCCAAGCTCGGGCCTGAGATGAACTATGACGATGCAGTGGTCACCGGGGCGGAGTTTGACTTTTCGCTCGCCAAGTCGATTGATAATCGCATGGAACAACTGGCTCGCTCGCATGATGTGTTGATTGATGTCGACGGAACCAATAATCGTCCCGCGCAGTCACCTGGGTCGTCGCCGACCTCGCCGCAGATTAACCCTCAGGAGCGTCTCCGTCGTCGCACGACCTTTCCAGCTGAAGAAGATGTCTGCTTCCCCACGGAAGAGGTTTCGGAAATTGCCGAAGAAGACGCACAGAGGGCGGCCAAAGAAGGCCATCGCCGACGGCGGCGGCTTAGGGAATGGCCGGATCTATCCGTCTTGGAGGATTGGAGCCGCCAGGAGAAGGAGGAGCGTTCAGGTGCCTATCGCGCGAAGAAGATCAGCGAGCCTATGCTTGTCGAGGGTCGTCTTCGTCCACAGTACCGACTCTGGCGACGCGAAGAGGAGGAAGCTCCCTACCGATTCACGTACTTCAACGAAGAATTCCAAAGTACTATCCACGCCCAGACCATCTCGGAGCTATGCCAGCCTGGTGGTAGTTTCCGCGAGCTCTTTATTCCGGATCCCCCAGAGTTAGACATTTCGTCGGATGAAGAGGAGGAGGAGGAGCATCATCAAAGGGAGGGCACAACGGACCACAACAACCATAGCCGTCAGCCCAGCGGCAGCGTATCCCGGGTCATGTCGCCGAACGGTAACAGTCACGGCGCGAATGGCAATGGTATCCATAATCACAACAGTCACCAGGGTGTCTACGGAAATCAACGGCACCAGCCTCGAACGTCCATCATCAGTGAGGCTGTCACTGAGGCACGAACATCCGCCGAAGCTTCGCCTCTGCGCAAACCAGTTCAACCTAAGCCCAAGCGGTATGGGCCTCGGCCGACCTTTTGGCTTGATGTTCTCTGTCCAACCGATGCAGAAATGCGAGTGCTCGCCAAATCCTTTGGTATCCATGCCCTGACGACCGAAGACATCATGATGCAAGAGGCGCGCGAGAAAGTCGAGCTGTTCCGGAACTATTACTTTGTCAACTACCGCACCTTTGAGCAAGACCCCAACAGCGAAAACTATCTCGAGCCCGTGAACATGTATGTCGTTGTGTTCCGGGAAGGTGTGCTGTCCTTCCACTTCTCGCAGACGCCCCATCCGGCGAATGTGCGCCGACGAATCCGTCAGCTGATGGACTACCTTATCCTCAGCTCTGACTGGATTTCGTATGCTCTCATTGATGACATTACGGACGTATTTGGCCCCTTGATTCAGGCCATCGAGGATGAGGTCGACGAGATCGACGAGAAGATCATGCAGATGCATGCAGACGAGCGAGGTATGGGGCCCAACAAGGAAGAGGATAATCAGAGCGTGACCACGTCTCTGGCCCCCGGGGAGATGCTGCGGCGTGTGGGTGTGTGCCGCAAGAAGGTGATGGGGATGTACCGCCTCTTGAGCAACAAGGCAGACGTTGTCAAGGGTTTCGCCAAGCGATGCAACGAGCAATGGGAAGTCGCGCCCAAGTCGGAGATTGGTCTCTACTTGGGTGATATCCAAGACCACATTATGACGATGACCAGCAGCTTGACCTACTACGAAACGTACGTCGCGACAACCGCCCCTTGGAAATGATATGGGATTTGCTAATTTGACTGCTGTGGTGTAGGCTTTTGTCGCGTGCGCATTCGAACTACCTGGCGCAGATCAACATCCTGATGAACGAGCGGCAGGAACAAACAGCCGATGTGTTGGGGAAGTTGACGGTACTGGGTACGATTGTCCTGCCGCTGAATATTATTTGTGGTATGTGGGGGATGAACGTGAAGGTGCCTGGTCAGGATGTGGATAGTTTGTCGTGGTTTTGGTCGAGTAAGTCTCTCTCCCTCTCTTCTACATTAGTTGAGGATGTCGTGGCTAATGGAGCGTCTGTTTAGTTACTGCGGGGCTAGTTCTGTTCGCCATTGCGTCGTTCTACATTGCGAAACGAGTCTATAAGATTGTCTAGTCTAGTCTGGAAGATGGTCTGGGTAGAAGGTTGGCTCTGGTTTGCTGGGTTCGATATCGATTTCCTATTTAGTTTCTCTTTTGGCTACTATTACACCGGGGTTGCATTGGGAGAGGTATGGCGTGATGAGAGTTTATTTGCAATACCTTTGGGTCTGGCTCAGCTTCTTTCTTTCCTTCCATCTATCTGAGTGTATATTAATTATGGCTAGGATGATAGAGGTTATGGTATATAGCATGTGAAAGGGGGAGTGTAACCCCCCTTCCCCTTGAAATACTCTAGATATCTGGTAAAAAGCTTAAACAGAGTTTTCTGGTTCTTAGCACAAACCTGCTGGGAAGAAGTTCGTTCCGCGTCTCGAATGTGTTTCTCCGGGGGGTGAGATGAAGTCATGATGATTCCCCCCGGTCGGAGGGATGTTCCGTATTGGTTCCGTATTGTCCCGTATGGTCGGGAAGTGGGGTGTTGCTAACTTGCAGCAGGGTAAAGTTACCAGACTGTGATGTTACTGCAGGTATTGATTACCTTCAGGCTTATGATGGCGTGGATTCCTGAGGAATCCCGTTTGGAAGGGGATTGTTTTATTCTTAGCTTGAAACTCGAAACCAAAACATCCAGAATCAGTCAGTTACTTGCAGAGTAATTGGACGGACTGACTGACTTTCATCATCATCGCCCTCCATCCCTCCATCTTCTTCACCACTACTTACTTACTACTTCACTCTCATCTCATCTCTCCTGTCTTCCCCTCCCACCTTTTTTTTTTTTTACTCTTCTTGTCCTCGTTAATTTATCTTCCTTTCACTATCTACCTCCACCAGCTGGCTGAAAGAAGGAAAGAAAGAGAAAACAGGTCCACTTCACTGCTTGTTGACTCCCACGCTAGACACCTTTTTTTCTTCCCGTTCCTTGACGTGGGCGGCTATCATTGGATCTCGCCATCCCCTCCCCTTGACTGGACCGATCGGGGTCCTCCTCATTCTTAGTACTCACTAGATACTACTACTGCTGCTCTCTCTGTGTGTACGCACGCAGACGACGACTGGAACTATCTAGTTACTTACTTACTAGACTTACCTAAGTAAGTCGGTGCAAATCGTCCCTATCTAGCTATCTGTCTAGTACTTTCGGCCTATCTCCCGTGCTGCACTTTCTGGGTGCCCCGGTTACTGGCGAAAAACTGGGTCAGCTCCTCTCGGGTACCCGGCTTAGTGCTATCACTACCAAGTACCAAGCAGCTAGCTAGATACACTACACTACACACTACACACTACTACTATTCTCTTGCTGCTGCTGCTGCTGCTGCTGGTTCCTTGATGGCTGGATGGTTGGTTGGCGGTGCTACTAGTACTGCTGACAGCCACTGCTACGTACTCATCACTGGCTTGTCTGCCTGTGTCTGACAGTTTCCGCAGTCGAAAGTTTCTGACTTCGCAATCGATTCCTTGCGTCTGACAGCCTGTCGAAACCTGGCTTGTCCATCCGCCATTCCCTCCTGCCAGCTGCCAATAGACATCATCAAATCCTCTTTGGATTCCCCTCCATCCCTCCCTCCCTCCCTCTTTCACCTCCACCATCCACAACCGTCCGCCTCCCGCAAGCCTCGTTCCGGCCATACCTGCAGTTGGCCACCTGGATCGACACCGTTCTCTCGTCCTTCCCGTGAGCTAACGCGCTTGGAGCCTTGTTCTAGACGTTCCATCTCACCGTCTTCTGATCGAGTTATGTGCACGGTTGCGCCCGCGTTGACGGCTTCGGTCTACTTGGATTATTACTTGGTTTCCTGAAAAAAAGGGCCCGGGCTAGGAAAACAACAACAACAACACAATATCCTCCGCTGGGGTGGGCTGCACCATACATTCACCACACACGCACACACACACATACAACCCCCCTAGTTCTTGCATCCCTCTCTACAAACCTTTCCCCTTCTCCTCGCAGGGTTGATATACTTTCCCTCCATCTGGTAATTCTCAAGGCCATCACCAGCATGTGGCTGTCGTCCATTCGTCCTCTCACTCGGTTGACTGTGTAACGTGGTTTGGTACGACAGACAGGAAACCGCTGTCCTGAATTCCCAACGCGGCGACCACTTAGCTTTCGCCGTTTTTTTCCCTCGAGCACCCCCGAATCTCCTGACACCCAGTGCTTTATTTTTTTGTTGTCTCTTTTTTTTGGGGGGCCCTCCTCCCCCTTCCGTCCGTCCTGGGGTCTCCTGCCGGCTGGTGGCTCACCGATACTTCATTATTGGGATTTACTTTTCCTTTTTCTTCCTTTTTTCTTACCCTTTTTTTCTCCCATCCTCCCCTGTCCGGACCTTTGTTCCGGTTCCCTCTCGGACTTCGTGATTTCTACCGGTCTTGTCAGAAAGCTCTGACTCGCCAGAGATCATGGCGGCGGAGTCCGGGAGGTCACCTTATCCCAATGGGACCTCTGGTGGATCTCGTATGGCCCACGGAGATGAGGCTGCCTTGTCTGCACCACGCCGATCTGCCAGTGAAAGTGACATGATAGAAGTGCCACGTTCAACCTTTCGATCCCAAGCCCAGGGCTCCGCCGCGTCACAGCTGCCTAAGTTCTCGCATGCGGTTCCTGGCGTCTCCGCCTCAACGTCTACCACCAACTCGGCTATATCCTCCCGCGAGTCCTCCCCCGTCCGCTCCTCTCGTCCGCGCAAGACCAGTGCAACTCCCCGTCACACTTCCTCTCGATCTCGCAAAGGCAGCATCGATCGCAGTCCCAATCGTTCCATTGCAACAACGAATACTGGTTCTGGCACGCTCCCCTCCGCCACGGTCGTACAACGAGCGCTGTCCCAGAACAGCAGACCCCCCGTCCTCAGCCCACCCCCCAATGCCGAAACATTCTCCGATGTGCCCGATCCGGACAAGTCCACCATGCCATTATGGGCCACAACGCGGCGGTCGGAACCACAAGAACCTACTCCTCCGAATACCTCGATCAAACGGTCGGTGCCAGATGACTTTGCGACAAAGCCAGACCGGAGTGCTCCCCGTGCCGTAAATAGGGGCCAGGGGTCGGCTCTGGAAACCGTCCAGGAGATGGCCAGCGATCAGTCCACGCCGTCGACCGATACGGTCATGAACCGACCCCTGACTGAAGAGTCTCAGTTACAAAAGATCGATGAATCGGACGCCACCCCCAAGGCGTCGCGGTTCCACAATGAGAGTGGCAGCGATAGTGGAGGGAACAAGAGCTCCGAGCCAATGGAGGGCCATCGCCGTCATTCTGCTTCGAAGACCCGGGGGACCAATGCCCTTCTTTCCAAGCAGTCCTCGACATCTTTGAGCGGCGGTCCTCGTGCCAAACCGGCGGATGGGTCTGTCCGGAACATGATTGTCGAGACGGAGACCGTCAGCTCCATTCCCCAGGTATCCCTCGCTGTGGCTACTGGGGATCGGGGTAATACTGGCCGAGTGGATTCTACGGGCACTCTTCGCATGAAAGGTAGCCAGGAGACAATTCGTGCCAAGAGAAAAGAGAAGCGGGTGCGCAAACCGGCGACCTTGGCCAGCGGCGCTGCATCCTCCAAAGCGGACATTTTCGAAGCTAAGGTGGCCAGCGCGGTTGACGAGGCCGATGTGTCCGACTCGGACGAAACGTTTGTGTACGAGTCCAACCCTCCTGACCCGTATCCCGTGCGGCAAAACCGATACCATTCCCGGACCCCCAGTGCCACCTCCATGGCCAGCCAGGTGGATCAGCTGTCTGCGGTTCGCAGTCGGCCAGGAATCCGGGATGGCAACCACAGCGTGACCGGCAAACGCAGCATGAAGTTTACGAACAATACGTTTGCTACCGGAGCGGACGATCCCGGCGAGGAAAGTGCCCGAAGCCACTCCCGAGTCGATAACGGCGGCACCCACACGCCCCGGCACCATCACATCGGGCGCTACGGACGCAACAATAACCTGTATCCGTCTTTGTTCGATCACGAGTCGCCGTTCCCTCAGCCCCAGACGCACCTCAAGTCGCCCCGACATTTCATCGGCGGCGGGTACCGGCAGTCCCGGCATCCGGGGTCTCGCGCTGGACCTAACTACCGCACGATCAGCGGGACCAAAAAGTCGAATGATGGCTACGGGTATGATTTTGATGCCGAAGGGGCGGATGACGAGCGGACGCCGCTGGTAGGGTCCCCCCGAGTGACACGCAGCCGTCATGGCGCTGGTCGACGCCCCAATAGTGCCAGCCTACGCCAGATGGAATACATGCAACAGCGGCAACGCGGGTACTTTTCGCGGTACGGTGCATGTGTTATCATCAGTCTGTTACTTTTCTTGCTCGTCGGGGGCGTGACGTCGTTCGTGGTGGCCTCGACGAAGGCTCTCGTGGATGTGGAGATTCTGGACATCCAGAATGTTCTTGCTTCCGAACAGGAGATCATGTTGGATCTGAATGTGCAAGCCGTCAATCCGAACCTGTTCCCCGTGTCCATTGACGATATGGACATGAACATCTTCGCCAAGAGTCGATTCGTCGGGACCGACGAGCTATGGCGCAAGCTCAGCGCCGACTCGAGTCCCGTTCCCAGAGTGGAGAACAGCCGCAAACGGGCCGAGATGGCTCTCATCGCTCGCTGCGCTGGTGATGCGGGTTGTCTGTCGAACAGCACACTATCTCTGCACGGTAAGAAGACCAAGGGCGGCGTGGACAAGGGCACAGATCCCATCGAATCTGATCCTGCGGGCGATCCTCAGACTATGCTGCTCGGTCGGGTGTTCCGATTTGATTCCCCTCTGTCTTTCGAGCCATCGCCATGGAATTATGTTCCTACGGCGTCCAAAGGACAAATTCGGCTTGCCCGCCCGGGCAACAAGACGGAAGAAGGCGGCACAGAGCGGTGGGAGCGGGTGCTCCAGCATGAATTTGACCTGATCGTCCGCGGTGTGGTCAAATATCAACTTCCACTGAGTTCCCGTCTCCACTCAGCGTCCGTCAGTTCTAGCATTAAGGTAATCCCTAACGAGGACGATGACACGGATGGGGGTGGCAAGCATTCGCCGGACAACAAGACCCTCAGTATCTCCGGGACCAAATATTATCGCCGAGTCCGACTCGCCCGATCCGAAGATGTCGATATGTCGGCGGTCGAGGCGTTGAAGAAGACCTTTCGGTCCCTCAAGCGAGCCTTTACGGCGTGAAACTGGTTTCCCGTAGCTGTCAGTCATGATTGCGTGGCTTCGCATTACTCAGTTGTGTCTCCTTCCGATACCTTATCGTGCTGGCTCTCGTCTAGACGGTCTTTACCTCCCTGCCTTTTGCGGAAGGTTAATTTATCCTGGATAAGGACTGAATGACCGGGGTGACCCTTACATCTGGGGTTGGCCCTCAACAGGAGCAAGGGCTACTCCCCTTTTGTGCCACTCGACATGGCGTATGACAGTACGCTATTGCGATAACGTGTTTCCTTTGTTGGAGCTTTCATTTTATCAAACCTAGCGATTGGTCTATTTCTCAACTGATGTGTAACGACCTGATATTTTTCATCATGAAAAGAAAACGGCAGCAAAAGCATGGAGAACGGCACAGTTTTTTTCAACTTTTATTTATTACAATAAAGGAAAAGAACGTTATGTATGCATCAGCACGGCGCTCTATACAGCTTTTTTATTTTCATTTTCTGGGGGTTTGTTTCTTCTTGTTTGTTTCTTATCTTTACTTGTTTTACTTCTTGTGTTGCTTGCTTCAAACTTGCGTGGTTGGTTCCTGGCTGGGAGCGTTGTGTGTTTGACTAGAGGGGAGGGAGCATCGGTGACGGGTGCACACGTCGTTCTCTCTTGCTTTTGCTTCTGCATGGTACCTACTATGCTTTTTATGTATCTATGTATGTGTGTACATAATATTCTATGTGAGGTGCTTGACTGTGCCACATTCGAAGAAAGTTAATTGCATGATACGGTGGATAGATAGGGGTAGGGTACATAGATATAGGAGATTGGAGAGTGCATGGATATACATAATATGATTGATGGATGGATGTAATACTTTTCAGCTGATGGCTGGTTGACTTCATTAGAAACTCTGCAGATACCGAGATGGTTTGGTTCTGTATTCAGCTTGACTTACTTGCATGTTCTGGGGATAGCACTGAGACCTGGGTTGTGTGGTGAATGTCTGAGTGCATGAACTCAACAATCTTAGGTAGTATTATTACCTAGACATGATTCATTCAATCTTCCTTTCATTTCCTCCATGGAGATTAGTACTAGTGGTACACATTGAGATGAGCTATAAGACTTGATTGACACTACAAGACAACTAGAAAAAAGAACCAGATAGAACAAGACAGCCTGACAATTGGTTTCTATCTGATTCTGGGTTGAGATAGCCCATTCACACTCACTAGTACTATTACGATAGCAGTCCGTAAGTATACTGATGAGGTCTGGCATACATCCTTACCCTGAGAAAAATCAGCACTAAGTGGGATAGATAGTACTACACTTAACACAGCACGACTTTTCC